CGAATGTTAAATGCATATATGTACACGTAAAATGTGAATGGAATAAATAAATAAAATCAAAATAAACGTTATGTAATAATATGAATAGTAGGTGCGGATTTTGTAGGGTAAAATAGATTTAATTTATTTGGTACAAACTTGGTGTAATTATAAGAATATTTCATAAAATTATCACAAAAACTAATGTGAATTAGTTTGTGGAACTAATTGTGAATTTGCACATTTTCAAAAATTTGGGAAAAACTATCTAGATAAAAGATGTTTGTGTCGCACAGCATGTTGAGTTTATTTATTGTTCTATTGTTATAAGTAGTCAAAAAAGATCCTTTTAGAATTCTTTGTTTAAATAAATTTTGTTCGAAATGTAGTACAGTCGGTTTAAAAAAATCTATAGTTTTTAATTTACTAATGTGACCAGTAAGCATAGTTTTAAATTGTCTAGGATTTTTTAAAATTATTTTCATGTTGTTTTAATCGCTTCATAAAATTCTGGCTGGTTTCTCCAATGTAAACTAAATTACAATCTATACACTTGATTTGATAGACAAAACTTCTAAGTAGTTCTGCGAGAAAAAGCAAAAAATATTTATATATATATATATATATATATATATATATATATATGAAGTATTTTGCGGCCCAATCGTCAAATTAAAAAATATTAAAATAGAAATATTTTTATTCTATTAAACGTTTCGACACTTAATGTGTGCCATCATTCAGTGATCTAAACAAACATATTACATAAATAACTATAGTTGAAATCAAATATAAAAAGGAGAAAATTATATACATACTAAACTAGGAAAAACAAAAAATACATATAAAATTTATTAAACACTAAACTTGTACAAAAGAACATCATAGCAAGTGTTAAAACGTTTAAGAGAGTAAAAAAAATGTTCTATTTTAATCTTTTTTTAATTCGACGATTAGGGTGGTTCTTAATATGGAAATTTCTTTGCTCCCAAGGGCTCAAATGCTTCCAAAATAATGAAAAAAAATTCTCTAAAAGTTTCAGCTCATAATATCGACATTTAGATAGTCCGCAATTCAATTCAAAGTTCCATATATTCATTATTAAGTAAATTCTTGCGCCATCTGTGATAGCAGACTTGTAATTTTGATGTCAACTTATTACTGAGTGTCAACATCACCAATTAAATAAATATTTTGCTGCAAATTTAATTTTGATGCCATGATGAATCAATATTTCGTTAAACAGTCCATATGGATTTAATTAGAGGTTAAGTGTTTTATAAGTGTCATAATATTTGAGTTCACAAATGCTGTCACAGATGGTGAAAGAATATATGGTAATAATGATTATACGAAACTTTTAATTGAATTGCGGACTATCTAAATGTTAATATTAAGAGCTAAAACTTTTAGATGATGTTTTTTTATTAATTTGGAAGCGTTTGAAACCTTGGGAGCAAGGAAATTCAAAAATGTCCATATTAAGGACCAAAATATGTATATACATATTTTTTTTCTCCGTCCATAAATTATGAATTCGCTCCTTTTATGCTCATTATATTTTCACAACTTTTAATACTGAAGTGCACGGCGCGAGTTTAAAAAGCGGAACAAAAAATTCAGAACTTGGGAAATTAAAAACAAACATTATTAATGCGATGCATTAAAAACGTGTTAAGTACAGATTTCGTAAATAATATATATATATATATATAATTCCTAGATAATTTAAAACTATGCTTACAGAACGCATTAATACTTTTGGTGAGGATCACTTTGATTAATTTGATATTGAGTGGACTGTAAATTATAAATATTTCATCACCATAAGAAGATGTGAATAATACCACTATTTAATTTATGACATATATTGAACTACACTCTACAACCTTCTTCTCTTATTACATTTGCTAGACTCCCTTATTATTATTTGTTACAGGTATTTATACTCATATAATTGTATCCCCTACCCCGAAGGGTCCCAGGTTAAATAAAAGCCCTGGTCAAATCTTGACCAACTTTAAAACACAATATATGAAAACTTATACAAGAGACAATAAATAAAAGACTTGAACATCATTTCCAAATTTCTTACAAAAGAATAAAACATACATTTTCTTGAACCAAGATAAATTTTAATGGAAATCAAAATAAATATTTTTTTCCAAGACCGATTTTTATGCAATTATTGATATTTCTTGAACAGTCATCAATCAAAATTAAAAGGAATCGACATTCAGAGTAATGAAGAACTTTATATGAAAAATAAAATTATTTACTTTAGTATTGTTGGTTATAGCAATATAATAAAAAAATGTAATATTCGAAATAAAAATGAAAGAAAACTAAATCAATATTATAATAATAGAAGAATAGAAAATAGTAACTAATTCAAGATTTTTGATTTTATTCAATAATATATTTACAACTGTCCTACACAGACATTAAGTAAATCTTTTGGCTATTATATATAAAAAATGACATCGATATATAAATAGTGAAAAATACACAGTTGCATTTTTCCTTTATAAGAGGTAATATAATGTGACACAAGTAATTCATTCAAGAAATAATATTAATAATTTAATATTCATAAAAATTCACAATAGTAATATTAATAAACATTTAAAGTAAGCCAATCAAATAAAAAATAATTATTTTTGTTCCAGTAAATACTTTTAAGAACAAAGGTAAATATTAAAGATAAACAGTAAAAATCTTGAAAGACTTTGATCAAAATATATAAATAGTTCTCAAACTTTCATACGACGAATGTTTATTTTAAACCAACTATAAATAATTAACTTTAGTATTTATTATTCTACCAGATACTTCGAGAGAATGAAAACAAATATGCAATATAAACCTGATAATTTTAGTCTGAGAAATATGTAATATGAACGTGGTCAATATTAAATTGCACAAGAAGTTATCTGTCTTCCCAAAACAAATATATCGTAATTATGAGGATTGTAAAATAACAAAATAAAGTTCTGAAATATTATTCACAGAAGAATAATGTATTATTGAGAGATATTCGGTTCGAGTCCTGGCACTGACATCGAAGATAATAAAGAAGAATGAAGAAACCAGTTGTAAACAAATTTGGATAGTATAAGATATATAAAGATAGTATACTGGTGGTATATGGCATCGTGCCTTAAGGCAAATTGCAGCAACTTCCCGTACCGTAAAGAAATATTCGAGAAATTTTAAACGTTTTCAAATATATTATTACAAATACTGTAACTTTCATTATTTTTGCTATCTTATTATATCTGATAAAATCAAATGTAAATCATAAATTAATTTATCTCCAGGAACATTAACAATCGACATTTCATTTCGAATTAAAATTCAAAAAAATAGTTGCCTAATTTACACAAATTGAAAAAGTGCTCCCGTATAGTCACATTCTAAACGTATTTGCAAATAACTCTGTGCGACATTTACACTTATACTGTGCTTAGCTTGGCGGCATTTTTACATTTTTCAATACTTTCACAAAATTGGAAAAGTGCTCCAGAACAAAAACAGTCTAAACGCATTTGCAAAAACATTTGTACCAGGTTGTCACTTAGACTGTGAATAGTTTGGGTAATTTTTTCGAATTTTTAACCCAAAATTATATTTTTGTAAATTATCTAAAATTAAAATTAATATCCGAAGTATTTTTTGAAAATTAAAAAAAATGAAATTTTGAAATTGAAAAAAATGCCTAATAGTTTCTTCTCATTGTCAACACAAGCAAAATGTTTATCGAATCATTCTAATCGGATGCTCCATTCTCTCAAAAACTACAATTTTTTGCACATTTAGTTCCGTATCTCCAAAACGGCTAGACCTGCCTTTGCCAAAAGCTAATCACCACTTCTCTCCATCATTACGAATTGAATGTTTTTTGAATCATTCAAATCGGATACTCAGTTCTCTCAAAAACTCGATTTCTATTTTCTGCACCCTTTGCTCCGTATCTCTGAAACGGCTGGACCTGCCTTTGCCAAAAACTAATCAGCACATCTCCCTATCTATAGGAATCGAATGATTTTTTAATTATTCAAATCGGTTGATCCGTGCTCCTAAAAACGAAATTTAAATCATTCAAATCCGTGGACGAAAAATTGTATCCGCACATACACACGCACACGCACACATAAACAAACACATCCATTTATTCTAAAGATATGCAAAATGTTCATTTTCGATTGTTATACGATTATAATTAAAATATACATTATTATTTCGAATATAACTCAGTCAGTAACGTGCCCGACTTGCAAACTAGAGACACTTGGTTCGAGTCCTGGCACTGATTTCTTGTATTAAAATTAAATATAAATTGAATGGTATAGAATAGTACGAGAAGTTATAAGGAGAAGCAAAGGTTAGAAAAACTAGTGGTGCATGGCATTGTGCCTTGAGGCAAATTGCTGAACTTCCCAACAAAACATAAGAGCTTGTAAATTGGATGACAAAGTTTCTATAATATGTTTACATGAAAAAAGAATAATAAACAAAACTTAATTAGGAGGACTTAGAATATAGAATCTTATCTCATATTTTAAACAAACATTTTCAAACACTTAATTTCTATTTTCTGTACTTCTTGCTCTATATCTCCGAAACTACTAGACCTGCCTTTGCCACCACTTCTTCCCATCAATAGAAATCTATTGCTATTTGAATCATTCAAATCGGTTAAACTGTGAGCCGAAAAACGACGAAAATAGAATTGTTGGGTAGAAATTAAGTAGAATTAGTAAGAAAAAGAATAATGAAGAGGTCATAAAGAAATGTGTGTTAGGTATAATAAACACAGTATAAAATATCTCAATATCAAATAGCTCGGTCGGTAGCGTACCCGACTCACGCGCCTAGGACACTCGGTTCGAGTCCTGGCACGAAAATAGAATAGAAATTAAGTAGAATTTGAATTATTAGTTAGAAAAAATATAAGTTTAGATAGTTATGATATACTACAGTATAAAATGTATACATTCAATTTTTTTCTATTTACTCACCGGCGCTTGGTGCCTCGCAGGCGACGGATACATGTTGTCTTTAGCTTTTAGCAGAACTTTTTATCACAAAACACCACACATTTTCACCTCAAAAACAACAACAAACGCACTTTTAAACTTAATTCCCATCAATAGATAAAATGAACCACACAACACTGGTAAATATTGGCAAACCCACTTCACTTCGAAAAACACACTTTAAACACTGAACACTTAAAAAAAACTTTAGTAATTGATAGTAAAGGTAATAAAGGTAGTAAGGGATTGATGTAAATTTTTCTACTAGTGATAAAAGATAGTTTTGTATATATATTTATTTCTTATTATTACATCGGCTCCTTCCTCGACAGTGTCTCATTCAATACTGAGGCCAACTTTACGATTCGAGGTTCCTCTACGGATTAGAGTGAGAGAGAACGCTTAGAAAGTATCGGCGGGAGCGGGATGCAGATATAGATGTGAACCGTTTATACCACGTGGGGGATCTGTGGTTGCTTCGCACCGATTTCAGAGAATGTCAAACGTTTTTGGTAAAGGTAGAGGAAATTTTGGTTAAAAAGTTTAAGAATACAAAAAGATACAGATTTGACTCCTCTTAATAACTCCGACGACTCCGATAATTTAGAAACTTAATACTGGACACAAATGTACAAAAAAAGAGACTGAAGCAAAGAAAGAGAGACTTAGACAAAGAAGACTGAAGTGTTATATATAAAGATATTTTAATTATAATAGATATTATATTAATGAAATATTCAAATGAAATAAAAGGGTCCGCCATAAAACTTTTTTTTATTGGTAGCAATTTAGAATTTTTGACAGCCATTAAAAAGTTAGACAGCAATTTCAATGAAATTATTCTCGATTATTAACCAGAAGGATTGCACTTTCAAATGGAAAAGATTTAAATTGCGAAAATATTCAGTAGTTTATATATAGCATTTTCAAAACAAAAAAAAAGTTATCTGACGAACCCTTTATATATAAAATATGAAAACTGTTTTTTATAATCTCTCATACCAGGCACCTCTGTCTGACTGAGATATGAAAATAATGTAATATATATATATATATATATATATATATATATATATATATATATAAATGTGTTCTATAGTAGTTCTAAGGGTTTATTAAATACTAGATGACCCGACAGACGTTGTCCTGTACCCATATCTATATTTTTTTCAGATCCTATACAAATATTTACCGTTCATTTAAAAATAATAATTATTATTAACTTCCCGTAGGGTAGCTATAATGGGCCGAAAATCGAAAATGATTTTTGCATTTCTCGAAGTTTTGAAGGTTTCTGAACATTTTACTGGTGTGTTTTTATGTCCGCATTTTTTCCTCCACGTTTTCGGGCGCACGGATCAACCGATTTGAATAGTTCAAAAAACATTCGATTCCTATTGATAGGGAGATGTGCTGATTAGTTTTTGGCAAAGGCAGGTCTGGCCGTTACGCAGATACGTAACAAAAAGTGCAGAAAATCGAAATCTAATTTTTGAAAGGTCGGAGCATCGAATTTGAATGATCCAAAATACGAATGATTCAATTCGTAATGACGGGGAGAAGTGGTGATTAATTTTTGGCAAAGGCAGGCCCAGCGGTTTCAGAGATACAAAGCTAAATGTGTAAAAAGTTGCAGTTTTTGAGAGATTTTTCTGATTTTTTTTTCAAAAAATATTTTTGTAATTTGGGATTAAAAATTCAAAATATTATCCAGGATAAGCACAGTCTAAGCGCCACTCTGGTACAAATGTTTACCCAAGTGCGTTTAGACTGTTTATGTACTGGAGTTTTTACCAATTTTGTGAAAACTAATGAAAAATGTGAAAATTCTGCCAAGCTAAGCACAGTATAAGTGAAAATGTCACACATAATTGTTTCCAAATGCGTTTAGACTGTGACTATACTGAGAGCACTTTTTCAATTTTGTGCAAATTAGGCAACTATTTTTTTGAAATTGAATTCGAAATGAAATGACTAGTGTTAATGTTCTGGAGATAAATTGATTTATTCTTAATTTACATTTGTTTTGCCCAGATATAACAGGATAGCAAAAATAATGATAGTTACAGAATTTGTAATAATATATCTGAAAACGTTTAAAATTTTTCGAATATTTTATTAGGGTACGGGAAGTTCCAGCAATTTGCCTTAAGGCACGATGCCATACACCACTAGTAGAATTTTTATTCATTCTGATTATTTTACTTATATATCCTATAGAATCTTCAATTTCATATTATGTTCCTGATATAAATCCTATTCTATTTTTAACTTATCTTCATTTTTCTTTACTATCTTCTAATTGCGGCTTCTAAACTCTTCTTACTTCAATTCATTTATAATTTCATCAATAGTTATGATTTTTTTTTATTAACTATTTAATATTTTTGAAATTCTTGCCCGGGAATCGAACTCAGAACCTCGAGCGTTTCATTCGGAAACGCTAGTCTGTGAGCTAATTCCACCACAATTATTGTGGGACATTTTATACCTAGAAAGTCATAAACATGCCTGTGCGTTTTTCTTGAGTAAAAAATCTCAAGCAAATGTTTGTTTTAATTTTAATTCTAGCTTAAATCTAAAAACTCACTTATACACGTCAAGTAAATAATTTTAACTCTGCAATTCGATGTACCTAATTTTTACAAATATGAGATACAGATCTATAATTCTAACTTCGCTTAGGGAAAGTTCCTGTAAGTTGCCTTAAGGCAACATAATTAGAAAAGCCATTTTGCTAAATAATAAAAATTACTGGAATCAATTTTAAATTGTTTCCAATCCAAATAATAAAACAAATGAAACATTTGTGCCATGTACTAAACGTAAGTTTATTGATTTGAAATTATCTCTATATTATTCGTAGTTTCTATAAATCTTTGAAGTTATTGAAATGAAAAATATTTTGTAGGCAAGACAGATATTAGAGCTGTTCAAAGATTGAGATTATATCGCCAACGAAAAAGTAAAAAAATAAACAAACAGTCAATGAATGTATGTAAATTTTAGTTACATGAAGTTCTTCAAACACAGTTTATTACATGATGAGTGAAATTGTGAAAACAATATTTGTTTAGGCGTTGTTTAACATAATCCACTGTGTGAACGAATTTTATAGAAGTTATGAATCAGCAATTACTTCATTTCTCTAATGAAGGTTCATTTATAAATGCTAATTACAATGACAAACCGATCATATCATATTTGAAGTATGACTTTAATTTCATTATTGTTTTCAAATATTATACATATTTTCAATGCTATTATAAATATATAATTTATAATTTATCATTATATAAACGTGTATAATGGTTGACACTAATAAATGCGTGCATCACGAGTGTTACCATATCACTAATAAACATTATTCAAAATTGTTATATGATGTATTTATTTCTACTTAAATGCCATCTTGTACAGTAGCAAATAAGTTTTACTTCAATCGCGTGTGAACCTCTTTTTTGTTAATGTTTTGAGAATCTGTGGCAGTCGGCCAATCACAAACATACATGCATGCCTACATTCGTATACAGTATGTATACCTTTTGAATGTGTATTTTTCTTGTTTCGCACAAAAGCATTCATATTTATCTATGGCTTGTAACTATGTTAGCTTAAACGCGCACCAGAACGAAAGGTGGGCACGACGACGACGACGACGACGACGTCATAGTCATCGAAGGCAAAAATCGAAACAAAGAAATTGAACAAATGTTAAATGGATGATTTTTTACGAAGAATTAAATTTAATTAGTAATATAATATGGCATTACTCGCGATGCACACATTTATTAGTGTCAACCATTATACACATTTATATAATGATAAATTATAAATTATATATTTATAATAGCATTAAAAATATGTATAATATTTAAGAACAATAATGCAATTAAAGTCATACTTCAAATATGACATGATCGGTTTGTCATTGTAATTAGCGTTTGGGACTAGAAATGAAGTAATTGCTGATTAATAAATTTTATAATATTCGTTCACACAGTGGATTATGTTAAACAACGCTTAAACAAATATTGTTTTCGCAACTTCACTCATCATGTAAGAATTGTGTTTGAAGAACTTCATGCAATTAATTATCTATTATATCTCTTATAAATAATTATTTTAATACTTAAGTTAATAGAATTTAATACTATCTTATATTTTCAAAATATATGCTTAATTTCAAGATCATAAACTATCTAATTTATAATAAATATATGGGTTAATTAAATGATAAGAGGAATATAAAATTGTAAGAATTTGTCATGTAATAATATAAGGATCTTCAACTGGTCGAGTTGAAGTTTTATACCATTTTTCGAAGGACTATAATGTTTTGGTATGTATATTAAGACTATAAAGATTTGTCATACAAAATTTCATTAACATCGACGAAAAAATTGTTTTTGATAGTCAATATCAAAGAAACTGCTTGACTAATCTTTGTATTTCGAATACCTCTGAATTTTTAAAATCGATTCAGCATTTTTGGCTAAAATGCAGACGGAACATGTTGTACCTTTTTGCTAATTCTAAAGAAACGGCTCTCCCGATCGTGTCAAAATTCTGACCAACGCGAGTCCATTTCAAGTTTTATCGAATGGTTTTTGAATGTTTGAAATCGGCTCAACCGTTTTTGAGATGAAAGATCAAACTTTAACAAACGTCAAAAACGTTGCTCATTTTTATATATATAGTTTTAGTATACTTTTTTCATATTTTCCCAATTTTCCCAATTTTTTTTTAAATAATTATTCAACAACATATACACTATTATACATCATTGAAAAGCATATTGAATAGCTAAAGAACTGTATACAACATTTTTAAACTTTTGGAACAAAATTGTTTGTAAAAAATCTTTGAAAACTTTGGATTATATAGACCAGTACTAAATTAGATATATATATATATACGAGATAGTTAATTTTGTGTACCTTTTTCATATTTTACCATTTTTTTTATAAAATTTATTTAGCAACATATACACTATTACACATCATTGAAAAGCTTATTAAATAGCCTAAAGAACTGTATACTACATTTTTAAACTTTTGGAACAAAATTGTTTGTAAAAAAATCCTTGAAAATTTTGGATTGTATACACCAGTACTAACTTAGATATATATATACATGGTTAATGTACACTAACTTTTTTCATATTTTGCCATTTTTTTTAAATAATTTATTCAACAACGTATACACTATTATACATCATTGAAAAGCTTATTAAATAGCCTAAAGAACTGTATATAATGCAATATTTTTAAACTTTTGGAACAAAAAACTTGTCGAAAAAGCGTAATAGTTAAGTATGTTCTACAAGACCATAATATCTATAGCCAAAAAAAAAATCATAAAAATCGTCGTAAATTTTTTTCAACACTTTATTACAAGAAAACAGCCCGGCCGATCTCTACCAAAAACTAATCAGCATGATTCCCAACCAATATCTTTCGAACGGTTTTTGAATTTTGAAAATCGATTCAGAATTGCGGCCTTAAGCGTGGACCGAAATTTTTCACTTTTATGCGATTTACAAAAGAAACGGCTTGGTTGATCATCGCACAAAACTGAGAAACAACAGTCCTCATCGAGATACATCGAATGGCTTTTAATTTTTGAAACCGGTCCAGCAATTTTTGAGAAAATGTCGACGAGAGATCAAAATCTGTTCACACACACACACATAATTTTTCCGAATTTGGTCTCATTCGATTCAGAATGCTTAAAACGTCGAGAAAAAATAAAATTAGCGAATCGGATTTTTGATGATGAAAACATAAACTTCTCCTTCGGGAAGTTAATAACAAAGTTTTGTTTCAAAAAAGTAAATTTTTGTTTCAAATATTTCAAAATGTTCGAAAATCAAATGTTTCAGTTTAAAAAAATTTAACCTTTTTTAAAAAAAAAAAAAAAATTTTTGGTACGGCGGTAAGTTCCAGTAATTTGCCTTAAAGCACGATGCAATACACCACTAGTTTAATTTAATTACTATATCTGAAAGTGTTAAAAATTACTCTATCAGCACAATTTTATTCTCAGCAACAAACCTAACTCTAATCAAAATTTCCTATAAATCCCAACTCCACACTCTGAGTTTGCAAGACCGAGGCTCCATGCCCTAAACCACGCGCAACCCACAACCAATTCCAAACAAACTCTACATTCCCTAAAACTCTTGGCGCTTCGGGAAGTTAAAAAGTTCAAAATATTTCGAAAAATAAGAAAATTTTTTTTCAAAAAATTCGAAATTCTCTAAAATCAAATTCTTACAAAGTTAAAAAAAAATTGAAAATAATTTTTGGTACGGGAAGTTCCAGCAACCTGCCTTAAGGCACGATGCCATACACCACTAGTTCACTTTACTATTTCTGTAAGCCCTAAAAATTCCCTCATCAGCACAATTTTATTCTCAGCAACAAACCTAATTTCAATAAAAATTTCCTATAAATTTCAACTCCATGCTTCGAATTTGCAAGACCGAGGCTCCGACACCTAAACCACGCACACCCCACAATCAATTCCAAACAAACTCTGCATTCCCTAATAAAACTCTTGGCGCTATCTCTCCGCTCTTTTCCCAAGCGTCTGCGCGCAACCTAAAATCCGACCGATAGCAGCACAAATAACAATCCGTCGCATTTCTCTGGGAACTTCTATATTCCGTCTCGACAGACAGAAAACCATCGGACTCAAGTGTACTCCGAGATATCGACATGATAACACATACAAAACGCGTAATAATAAAACAAATAAAGTAAAAATATTAATAAAAAATATACTAAATATAAAACAAAACCCCAGTGCAAATTTACCCTAGAACTACCCTTAAATCTACTATCTAATTTTACCCAAGTGTACAAATGTCATTTGACGTCATTGTCAAAATCAGTGTGGATTAATAAAGAAGTGGGATCGAGAGAATAAATTTAATTTTATTATTATTATTATTATTTTGTATTTTATTTATATTAGTTCTGTGTCTATTAAATGTGTGTAGTGTCCGATTGTTGAAAAAAAATGGATTATAAAACTTTAGTTTTTAATGCGGCCAGAGATGGGAATTTGACTCGTTTAAAGGTAAGAGTTTATTTTTGGCAGCTGCTTTTTTTTTTTTTTTGAACAGGTCTTGGTTGAATTTTTTTTCGGCGGAGGAATTGATGGTTTTAGGGGAATTAAGGGACTGAGGGAAGATATTTATAAATTTATGTACATATTTTATGTACATATACATACTGAAATGGAGTTTTACTTGATTTTCCATTGTATAATGTTCTACCGTGTGTGTATATATGTGTGGATACATTTTTGTAAATTACTTGCGAAGCAATATATATATATATATATATATATATATATATATATATATTTACATATTTTGTTAGACGTTGAGATATATTCTTGAAATGTTAATTTGCAGCAATAAATGATTTTTTCATTTATACGTTTCGACACGTATGTGTGTCATCACCCATCATTTTTTTTAATATTTATACAGTATCACACCAGGGAAAACACTCGCAAGAAATTAAACTAACAATAATTAAAAAATAAAACATAATAAAGTAAAAATGTTTGTTTTTGTGATTTTGATTTTGATTCTTTTATTTCGACGATTGGCTGCAAAATAACATTCAGGTATATATATACAAATATATATATATATATATATATATATATATATATATATATACATCCTGGATTTACAACAAATTAATATATTTTTTTCCCGAACAATTAATTCAATAAATAAAGAACGAAAAAACGAGTTTTCTCTAGGTGTCTACTTACGACGTTTCGAAGCTAGATACGTTTCATCATCAGGTTTTTCCGACAAGAACATTTTTCTTTCATATAACAATATTGAAGTTGATAATTGAGGAATATTGAAAATTAAAAAAGAATGGTTCATGTACCTTTTTTTGCAAACAAAAA